TCACTACAGGCTTCGCCTTTGATGGAAGTGCCTTGTAAAAAAGATGCATCTCGTCGACATTGAAGACGTCTCGTGGCTCAGAGCTCATCGAAATTTCATTAGGCCGCGCCTGTTGCCAGTCGGTGCAAACATCCCTGTTGACTGCAGCACTTTCACCTCTGAGACCTCTGAGAAAGCGAAAGAGCTTGGTGGCCGAATCTACCATCTCCAAGAAAACTGCAGCACCCTGCGTTGACGGCGAGGCCACTGATTCAGGTTCATCGATAGACCTTCCTGCCGACTACGAACCTGAAATGGTGAACACTACAGGGGCTGCAGGTTCGCTGGAATGCCTGCTCAAGCTTTGTTTACCTTCAATTTATACGAGCTCGATCGCACCGCATCTCGTGTCAAAGAGAGCAGTAATTTACATGCTGTCACGACTACATTTTTTCGTGAAAGGTATCAACTAGTCTCGAGAGACAAAACAAAACAAAGCTGCACGGGAAAATCAGTCGGTGTTCATAAAGGTGCCACTGTGATGAAGTGATCGTGAACTGATAAGTCCACGGAATGGCGATGAATTTGATTGGTGTTACTGTTCACTGCAGTACGCGCGCTCGTAAATAAAGGGTTTCTTCTTACAGTCTGACAGTGGTGCCAAGTGATGCTTCCTTTTGATTGTACAATGCAATATCCCAGCCACAGCAGCAGTATTTCGGCAGGTGTGTAATCGTTTAAGGATCAAAGATTGTCAAAATATTCCCAAGTCTTCAGCTATGGCTTGCCTCTCAATGATGATGATATGTGGGGTTTAACGTCTCAAAACCACCATATGATTACGAAAGACGCCGTAGTGGAGGGCTCCGGAAATTTCGACTACCTGGCGTTCATTAACGTGCACCCAAATCTGAGCACACGGGCCTACAACATTTCCGCCTCCACCGGAAATGCAGCCACCACAGCCAAGATTCGAACCCGCGACCTGCGGGTCAGCAGCCAAGTATCTTATATCCCTGTCACACGGGCACTTAAAAGTCTTTTAGGTAAGCGGTCTTTTTCCGAAAAGGAGTTCCTGACAGCAGACACACGGCACAGGGCGAACTCATTTTCAGAAGCGGTCTTTTTCGTAAACGGCGTTCGTCGATCTCTTTTACGGCTCCGAATGAGTAGCCTCGAAACCAGTGGGCGCCAGTAATTTTCGAGCGGTGGAAAAAAAAAGAGTGAATGCTTATTTTTCTGTCACCAAAACTCTTTGTAAAAACAAATTTCATATCCTGCAGAAGGTGTAATGAACTCTTTTAATGGTTATTTCCTTTTCTACTCTCGTAAGCAGCTACAACGCGTCGGCAATATCACGTGGTGACGCTCGGTCTTGCGCTGCTTTATCCTCTCCTTGGCGGCTTTTGCAGCGTCTGCCTCGCTTTCCAGAGCGAGAAGGCAGGCCGTGAGGCTTGCGATGCTCGCTTTTTCTCCCGTACGGTCGCCCATAACGTGTCGAGAGCAGTCGAGAGCAGCAAAAAACAAATACGGCAAATAAAAGCACAGTGGTGCCAGACGGACTTGTGCACGTCGCTAGTTATGAGAATGCTTCCTTATCTAGTGCAAAAAACATTCACATTGGTGTTTCTTGATCTCTTATTCTTAAATTTATTAGAAACGAGCAGTGCAACAAGTCTTTAATTTGTACATCGTGATACATTGTTTAATTTTCATTGCTTCTTTTTTAACTGCTAGCGCCACGCTTTCGCTAGCGTCTACGAACGAAAACACTAAAAGGAGATCGTTGCTGCCGTGTGTCTGCGCCGCAAACACCTCTTTGTTAAAAGTCTTTCAACTTCGTAAAAGACCGCTTACTTAAAAGACTTTTTGCGCGCCCGTGTGACACAGGTATTAGCCACTAGACCACCGCGGCAGGGCTGGCGTGCCTCTCAATCAAATAACGACTTTGTCCCCTTAGCCACATAATTAAAATTGCATGATGCAACTATCGACAAGAACGGTGCCGTGCACGTAACGAAGGATGTCGAAGCTGTCGCAGTGTGCAGACTAGGACTCTATATAGCAGTAATATAACAAGAAACAATCATGTTTACAGATGCTCCTTTGATATCTCAATCTTCCTAATTTTTTATTCGTTCAACAATTGAGCTTTAGAAACTGCAGGCAGTTTACCCAGAGATGCCTACTTCGCTGTCATTTGTTAATACCTGCATTTGGACCGTGCGTTGCAGCTTTGACATTTCGTTTGGCTTTGAATGCAGAACGAAAAAAACCATTCAAAAAGCTTTTCGCGGACGTGTCAGCAATTAAACACACGAATATTAAGCGCAACATATGCAAGCGCATATCACGGGATTGAATCCCGGCCGCGGCGGCTGCATTTTCGGCGGAGGCCCAAATACTAAGGTGTGTGTACTACTAGATTTAGGTGCATGTTAAAGCACCCCAGGTGGTTGAATTTCCGGAGCACTCCTCTGCGGCGTCTCTTGTAATCATATGGTGATTTTGGAACGTTAAACCCCTGCCATCACTTATATCAAAGCACAGAAGTGCATAAAAGGCAATGCGTGAGGTGACAGTTCATGCTGAAGTGGCAACATATCGCGGCTGTCGATACCAACTGTGGCAGCCACGGCTCCTCCCTGAACACACTACTTCATATTCTACACTATACCCACAGCCACAAGTGAGAATGGCTACTGGATTGGCTTGTCTTGAGGTGTTGCCATGGTTGTGAGACTAACTTTGGCATGAGCAAGTGTATGCTGTGTTTAGAATTTGTGCCGTTTAACCGTAAATGACCAGTAAGCACTGTTTCGATTAACCGATGCATTTTACTACGCAACACATAAAAATCCAGCCACATGAGCCCATTTAGTTTCGTTAATGAGGTATTTTCGTTTAAGCGAGTTTCGTTTATTGGGAGTCCACTGTATGTCACAATGGGGAAGAAAAAACAAGAAAAAGTACATATTTCGTTCAGCTGATAGAAACTATTCCTTGGAGTCAAGCATTTACACAAGTCTAACGAGCACTCGATTTTGCGAATTCATAAAAAATATGCTCATGAATAAATTGCTACCACATTTTAACAATGCAACTGTAGGACCACTCTAGTTTGACGATGAGAAAAAAGGAAAAAAAAAAAAAGAGAAAAGCACTAATTTCCTTAAAAGAATTAAAAATTTACTCTTCTGGCTTCTGTGAGCTTGTTTTACTGGCTCCAAAGCATGCTGCGAAGCCAACATAATATGCTCTCAGTAAACAGAAATCTGTTAAATAGAACATAGAGTTAATATACAAACTCTAGAGGACAAGCTTCCCATAGGGTCCGTGATGCATTAAGTCTTATAACCATTTAGGTGCCGCCGTGATGGAATGATACGCGAGATGCCAAAATGACATAGAGCTTGTTGTCGGCACATGGTACGAATAAGACCCCGTGCTTGATCTGGCATTCATGATCTAGCAGTCATCTTTTGTTAGCAGAAACAGTTAGCTAGCACAGTAGACAGAAACTTGGTGTAAGCAAATGGCTTCTCTAACTTTCTTCTCATCAAGGAGGTCATTGCGATGAGAGTGCTTGGTCTCCTTGACAAGCTGACCAGCAACAAAAAGCAAGGACAGCCTGAGGTTCCTGGATGTATGACATGAAGGTTTATTGATGTATGACATGACATATATGTAGCTTTTCTGAATTGAAAATCAGTTGTCCTTGCCAGCTCCCCATTCGTCCATGTGTGTTTTTTTTTCATGCCCCTGAAATTTTCTGGTTAATAAATTTTCACATCAGAGTTTTGAAAAACTCTGCGAGCAATTCTATTTATTTACAATAATTCAATACTGTAGATGAAGAAGTATGCTGAAAACATAGATACAATGAAAATGAGCACATTTAGTATAATTCGATACGGTCGCTCAATTAAAATCACTGCTGTAATGCTAGTGATTCCACATGAGTGCGCCTGTTCATGGAAATGTGTCATAGTTCAGCGTCTTCATGTTTGCTGCAACCTAGCAGCAATGTCTTTTGAGAAATGTATATGCACCACTGTTAAGCACTGTTACATACCAAGGCATTGTTGAATGATGTTGCACGCCTAATGACTTATGAATGACATTTCTGGGTGCTTTTGCATAAATAAGAGAGATGCACAGAAAATCCATCTGAGGTGCCAACTGGCTGCTTCTACAGCTGAACATGGACATTTTCAGGCACCTCTTTAACTACACAGATGTGCTTAGATAATGGCTACATCCTTTAAAATGATGATTAGGCACAGCATTTATTATAGTTAAATATGACATCGGAGCTGTACTTGCCATAACCTCTGCAACATCTGCCTTAATTTATAAACACCCCAACAAACAATATGCAAATATAAAACAAAGTCGTAAATCTCCTACATTGCACAACATAACTATCTCTCATTCTCAAATACGCATGAAACATTCTGTTCAATTAAAACAAAGCCATGGATTTCCTACATTGCACAATATAACTATCTCTCATTCTCAAATAGGCACGAAACATTCTGTTCAATAAAGCAAGGCCAAATCAGAGCACCAGGTCAACTATGTCAACTAGGTGGAGACTAGCACATACTGCTTTTAAAAAACAAAAAAGAAAGAAAGAAAACTGCTTCACATAATAGAACTGCCACTTAACCAGACAGACTTTTCTGCCAGTGCTGTACAAAAGTAGTAGAGGAATTGTCTGAGGGGCTGTTATTTATATATTTATATATATATATATATATATATATATATATATATATATATATATATATATATATATATATATATATATATATATTTTGTATTCCACACAACTGCTGAACCCAACAGGCATTTAAGCCAAGAAAAGCATAGGAAACATTATTCATGCTCTCTTAGTTGTACTGCAATGATTCTCAATTAATTTCGAAGTAATATAGCAGATGAAAAAACAAACGTTTTGCTGTTGTTGGTATTCGAACCCACGAATTACAAGTCACGCGAGCCTCTCGAACCATTTCCCTACTTTCGTACTGCCCCAATGATGGCCTTGCGCTGTCAAGTTTAGGTAGCATCAGAAGGTTTATTAATCAGCCACCCACACTTCCCACCCCGTGCAAAGATCACTAGCCCCGTGATGACCTCTGGCACAAAAAAAAAAAAGTGTCCCCAGACAACCAGTAATGCCAGAAGCAAAGCCCCCAAGAACACACTTGAAGACTTTTCTCCTAGGAGAATGGCACATGCACTAGAGCATAGTGAAAAAGGTGGATTCCGTTACGCTACTGCTGAAAAAACCACACATAATGTCTCCTACAATTTTCTTGGCATCATAGTTTCACTATTTCTTCGAGAGCTGGCAACATTGGCATGAAAAATGTCTTCAAAGCTGAAACATAAACAAAGAAAAACGCTGTAGCTTGCTGCAGGACTGTCTCTACAATGCTTGTTGGTGAAGCACAGCACACACACAGGTTGAAATCACAGGTGTCTAAGGCCATCTTGCTCCTGCACAAACCTTTGTCAACAAGTCAAGTCAGTGAAGATACTCCCGCCACTAGAGCACTTCCAAAGCTAGCCGCATGCTAGTGCAGAACAACATGCCAACTTGCACTGAAGTACATGGTAAGTTTACAACTGCATTAATGTAACCTTAGTGATTATGTATTATCTATATCTGGCACTCACCTCACTCAACCACGTCAGCCTACCTCGTGAGAAAATATGAAGCACAGTTATAGCAGTCCTGCCATTCAAAATAATCAATACCTTGGTACTAATGGCTATTTTAAGATCAAATATGTAACATAGCCAAATGAAAGCTGACCATAAACACGTCGGAGGCAAAGCACTTGGCCCCAATTTCTACCCATGTCAAGAGGGTTAAAGCATGATTAACAAAATCCTAGTGGCAGCATGTCTACCCTGCACAAGTGTGCAGTTATCTCACCATTGCATATTTTGGGCTAAGGAAACTTGTCAACGAAATTTTTGAAGACAAAGGGGACTTTATACGAAACTTGCTACAGCCTACACACAGTGCCTGAAAACAACAGTTCCAGTGAGTTGGAAAAGTTGTAACATGATATAAATCTATAAAAGAAAGAGAAACAAATACTTGAATTTCAAAGCCTATCACCTCCTTTTCAGTGACATAAATAAAGATAAAAGAGGCACTCAACTTTAATTGATTTGGAGAACAAGCCCGTTTTAGGATGGATCAAAGTCATCTGGCTATTGAGAAATATGCTGAACATTCAACTTTTAAATACCGCGAAAACGCCACAAACTCAATAAAAGAAATGGCCGCAGTATTAAAAGCTCCAAGTAAACAAGTATATGGAACATAATGTTATAACCAGGGCTGGGCAATAACGAAGATACACGTATCTCAGACACTCTTTGGACAGGTATCGGTAAAGTCAATCTTGGATGTATCGAACTTGAATATATCAAATTATTGCCTGTATCGAACAGTTGAAAAATCCTCTTGAATTTTTCATGCAAAAGTATGGGACTGATGCACCCATATATTGGACTTCCGCACAGGGGGACATCCACTATATAGAACGCTGCACCACTCTGAAGCCCAGAAAGTCCATTTTTCCTAGCAAATATCGATAAATTTTCGGCTGCATTCTAACGAGTTCTGATGCCTTTGCGTGCAAAGGTGACGAAAAGGCCGTATTATTACATCACGCTTACCTGGTTCGTTGCACAGTGCTTGCGAGTAAACCGGTGTGTTTAGTGCGCGATCTGCAGGTCTTAACGCACGGGCGTAGTGTTTTTCACTAAAACCGATGACACCAAAATGAGAATGCGAAATGACTCAGCCATCTCGTTGCAATTTTCGCATTCCCCTTCCTAGTTTGTTAGCGAACAAAGGCACTCGAGCCAGAAAAGCATGGTCTTCAAGATGTGCAACCATGAGAGGTATTTTTAGTGTTTTCGGTTTCAAAACCAGTGTTGTACAATTTCCTCAGCAACAGGAACAGAAGCGCGTTCCTCGTTCACTCCCAACTTCGGAACGAGTTCTCGTTACAAGTTCCTTTTACGTAAAAAGAATGCGTTACAATTACATTCGAAAATTGAAATGTATTGTTACATTAAAATTTAATTACCTTTTTCTATAAATATATTGTTCCCCTTAATCCTGAAGCGATATAAAGTGAGCACATATCAAGCTACATATATTATAAGAATCTAACATTGCTGACAGCAAGTTATACAAAGGAAATCCAAATAAAAGCTCCAAGCTGAATTTTTTAGAGATTACCGGCCCACAGATGGGGCACTTTTCCAAGTCGGTCTTCAAAGGTGCAGTCAAGATACTGCCCTTCAGATATTCAAACACAAATCTCCACCCAAACACGCATTTCTTTCAAAGTGTGAAGATCGGCCTATCTGGCTTGGCACTGCTTGGACGCGCTGCAGGTTTGCAGCTAAGCCTACCCTATTTGTTCCAGATCAGCGCTCCCAGAGGTGCACCAAAAGCAGTGACAACACGAAAATCGTACTTGGAATTCTTCAGCGCAGTTGGATCCCCGGTCAAAAGCCCTTTCGACACACCTGACCAAGTGACAGCTTAGGAAGCGCTGCTGGTAGTTAAGACTTGTGATTTTGTACGACGGGCTATAAGATGCACCGAACAATTAGACGAGCACCCGGAATCTGTCTTCGTGTACGTTTTCCACATTCCGCGGTGCATTCATCTCTACATTTCTCACAGCACAAACCCTATCGACAAGTCAACATGGCACAGCCATCGTCATTGGCATGTCGATGGCTTGGTCAATGCAGCGGTGGGTTCACTGAAACAGTTTCATGAAAGAGGCATTCCAGAATGTCTCTGGCCTCACTTTCACTCTGAAGAAAGAGAAGAAATCGCTCACATCAAGTCGAGGACTTATTCAGGAAGCTGCTGGTCCTGTCATGCCTGTGAATTTGGTTCTGGTTAAATGCCAGTGATGTGATTGACCTGAACTGTCTTGGAGCAGGAAATGATTTTCGAGCAGCCAAAAATGCATTTCTGAGTGAGAAAAACGACTTTTGGAGCAACCAAAAGTGCATTTTAGAGCAGCTTAAGGCTCACTGCCAAGTGGGACACTGACTGTGTGAAACAAGGCAGTGAACTAAGGAGGAACGCTTTTGCATTAAGAAGTTGTGTGGAATAATGATTGTTAGGAAATGTCTCTATAACATCACAGGATATTAACTCAACCTAATTTTAAGCCTTCCAGTGCATTTTTTAATACGGGATGCAACCAACTACGAATTAGTGCTGCATTCTGGCCGCAGAAATAATGTATGAGAGGAGTTATTATTGAAGAACAAATAAATCACTATGAAATTTTTATTGAGGACTAACAACGACTGTTTCATTTCTTTTAAATTGCGGAAAAGCTACTGTGTAGTTGGTTGTCTTTTTGCCTGACATCTTGCCAAGGGCTGCACAAAGTCCCGTTTTTTTTTTTTTTTTTTTAACCAAACAAGGACTGGCACTACAGATGTGCTCGAGTCTTGATCCAGTACGTGATGTGAGCACGGCGGTCGCCCGAAGAGCTTCAGTTTTTTGGGGTCGCGGAACGCTAATCTACGAGGCTTTCATTGTCTCAAAACAATCGTAGATGCTCGCAGCAATTCCAAGCACGGCTCCAAGCATGTCTAAATCGCATCACAAAAGCTTATTGACAGCATTTCGTATGACCGTGAAGTGCACGGCCGCATGGATAGTGCAGCCGGCCCGTGATGCACTTGGCGGCGGCGTTCGGTGACGATGAGTGAAATCTGTATCTACAATGACAAAAAAGTTGTTGTGCACTGCCCTTGGTACCGCATTTTTGAGTGCGGACACGCGGAACTGCTAGCCACTGTTCTGAGCAATCTTGGCAGTGGAGAGGGGGGGGGTGACGGAGCTTGACTGGGGGGTCCGCTGCCGATGCGTGAAATGCCCATCGGCGGTTCCGAGGAGGTAGCATGTGATGTGCTTCGTTGCCTGCGAAGAAGCACGTTTCTACGAGTGCGCTAGCGCGTCGATCTCGCCCGCAAAGTTTGTCTCGCCGTTAGCGGAGTTAGGCCTAAAGACGCCTCCGGTGCCGCGCTACTAGGCCGTGCGCCTGCTCGTAGTAATTTGATCGAGCATATGCTTACAGTTTTTAACTAAAGCGCAATTGTATCTCAAGTGATCCTCGAGCCATGAACACATCACGAAGCAGCGATTGTCGACAGCGATGTCTTCGCGACGCACCAGCAGCAGACGACGATCTCCCGGAATGAGCATCGGGCCAATGGCGAGGAGAGCTGGGGCAACACGCCGGTAACAGCCAATCAGGGGCCTCAGAACGACTTTCATACATTTACTTTTTGTGCGCTTGTGTTGAAAGGGAGGAGCTAGCTCAGGCAGGAAATTTGAACACCGGACAAATACTGTTTCCAATAAGCCCAAGAAGCCGGCTACCGGCCGTGCCATCGTGGAACTATAGTTAAAAAAAAAAAAAAGCTGTGTTATCGCAATTTCCAGAAATAGTTTCACTACCTAGGAGGGTGAAAAGAATTTTCTGACGCACTTCTGCCCGGTTTTAAGGGCAGATATTTTGGAATCAGATAGAAAAAGGGCTCCACTTCATTTTCAGAAAATTGATTTTTTTTTGCCATTTTTCGATACGAAAGCCGCGTCCCCCCTTAATATTTGTGCTAAGTCTTGAGTTGACCTTTGATGACAATGAGTTAGAAAAAAGTTTTAAACTGGTTTGCTAGTTCACTGCCCTTCTGGCTTTCAGCCGTTTCGCGCTGCTGTCTTCATTCTCCTGCCAAACACGATTAGCTCGGAGCCTCGGACACCGGCTTGCGGCAAGCCGTTCTGTCCAAGGTGCATTTTCGGGGAATCACGCTAATTCACACCAGTCTTGGGAATATTCTCTGCGCTTCCCCAAATCAGCGTCCTGCCATATTCCCCCCCCCCCCCCCCTCGCTATCCTCGCAGCCGGACACTGATTCTCCTCCCATGTGGCAACATTGGAAGGTCACAGGCCACCCCTAACCGGGCGTTCTTGCTTTTCGATAGTATTTTGTAATTAGGCGCAGTTTTGGCACAGAAAGGAGGAAATGTAGCAGGATGTAGCAGGTTTCCCATTTTGGCGCAGTTATCGCATCACTGAAATGTGCACTTCGCTATCACTTTTGATGGACAAACTCAACTCATTGCCCCAAATGAGTTGTGGAGACGCATGTTCCTTTACAAGATCGCACGGCTTTGTCATCGCAACGGTGCATCTCACCAGGAACCTCGCGGACTGACGTCATGAACTTCTCGCTGCAAAACATCCGTGTGGTCTGCTTACAGGATGTGCTAGTGAAAGTCAATGATGATGCATGATGTTTAGATGCACAAGGGAGCACAAAACTATGGTTATGTTATTGCAAGGATTTATGGTTCATGCAGTGGCTGCATAGAGGCCTTAAAATCGGGACTGTAAGTGCTTTAACATATCTACTGTAGTGGGGAGAATGCTATGAGCACAGGATATCAAATGCTAAAAAATGACGTCTTAATAAACGAAGTACCAAGTAAAATATCAGAGTCCAGAAGCCATGTGCCATTACAAATGATAACATCACAACTACAACCTCTCAGGGAAGGCCATGTTAGGACTATTATCGCTCAAAATAGCTGCCACGAATTTCACACTGAATAGTGGTTTTCTGCCTAAGAAGAGAGACAAGTTAAGAGGTATGCATTGTTTATATGCTTCTCACCCTTTCGATTTCTGTTTCATGACATGCTGAACAGCAAGCCTTTTGCCACATCTACTGCACAGGGGATGTTCGCCACCAGTCAGTAAAAAACCGTGTGTACCATAAGCCTGCCCTATTCTGATGTGACAGAATAGGATATCACTTCGTCTTGACTTGGTTAGTGAAGGCCCTAACTTTGGTTTAACTGTGTGGAGCTAGTTTAAATATTGAGAGTACCAGTCACGTTGCCAGTGGTTTCATAGTTTCTTTTGCAGGCATGGCTTTAGATCCTGTCCAGGGTTATAGATGGTTTGTCTGCGTTTGCGTGTAACGATTTTGCAATTTGGTCCGCCAGTACATTTCCGTTCGATACCTCTGTACCCAGGCACCCAGCACACTGTTATATGTTGGCCAGAGGTGTAAGCAGAACATAGTAGTGAATGCAGGTTCGGGACTATCAAGTTTCTCTGCTTCCGGCATGACACTAAGGTTTTCACCAAGCTTAGTGAGTCTGTGCATAAAACCGCCTTGACCAGTTTCAATTGTATCAATTTCAATTGTTTGAAATTGTTTGTTATCAGTTTCAATTGTTTGAGAGCAGAAAATAAGACACATGCCTCTGCTGTGAAGATACTTGTGTTGGGATATAGAACATCTGATCCCAAAAAGGATGGGCTGACGGCTGCGTAAGACATGCCGGCATGAGACTTGAATGCATCTGTGTAATATTCATGGCAGGAGTATTTCTGCTGCAGTTCAAGGAAATGCATGTGGACGCGGGTGTCTGGAGCATGCTTAGTCACTTTCGTAAATTACGTGACAAAGTCAACAATATTTCATAAACATGGCGGCAACGGTTCAGGTGGAGCCATTAGGCAATACTCAAGAAGTGGAACAGTCATGTCTTCACACGGCCCCCTGACTCGAAGTGAAAATGGCTCCTTTACTGTGGGTTATCGTGAAAAAGTTGTGCAGATGAGATATAATTGATACTAGGATAACAAGGAAAGTTCTTGTTCGAATGTGCATTCAGGAAATAATTAAAAGCACAATATCAATGTTGTAGATAAAGTGACCAATCATTTGACCCAACATACAGGCTTTGGGTGGAACTCATTCTGAAAGCACTGGTGGCGTGACGTATGCCTAAGTTATGGACAAGATCCAGCAACGTCAAAGCGCTGGGTGTAGTCGGCTGATAAACTACAGCACCGTAGTCTAGCCATGATCGAACAAGGCTTCTGTGAAGATTAAACAGACATCTGTCACTACCCCATGAGGTAAAAAATTTAAGGGATAGTTTTCTTTGTTAGACACAATATTAATGAGAATAAACAGACAATTATGCCTAGGAAAGTATAGGGGATGTTATAGGAAGTAATTGTATTGTAAATGTGGAGAATAGAAAGTGAACGAAAAAGATAACTTGGCGTGGGCAGGGACCGAACCCGCGACCTTCAAATAATGCGTCCGATGATCTACCAACATCCACTTTATGGGGTATGTATGTGGATTTAAACGCGAGAGCATCAGTCAGCACTGCTTGTTGCCATTGAGGTGAGTGTGGGACACTTACTATTTGACTATTGGCGTCACGTAGCACAAGATCATATCTGGCAGCTGACCAATAATCCCTCACATACCACCTGAAGGCATTAAGTCTGCCAGAACTACACCCTTGCTATGAATGAAGGAAAGAAGGGTAAACATGAGGGCTCGTTTTCTTTATTAGACACAATATTAATGAAAAGTGACAAACAACTATGCCTAGGAAAGTATAGGGAATGTTATAAGAAGTAATATCTGCCCTACAGTCCTAACAACCTTCTTCATAGGGTACACTAGCGCAAAACATGTTGAGCATGCAGTCTTGCGTGCCCAAGATTAACATCGAAAAACCCACGCTGCCGACAGAATTCACACGAAAAAAAAAAAAAAAATGAAAAGAAAAGCCATCGCGGAAATCTGTCGTTAGAGCTTCAGGCCACCTACCGTATTTACTCGCGTAATTCTCGCACTTGCAGAATTCTCGCACCCCCCACATCGCCCAACAAAAATACGATTTCTTCTTTTTCCTTGAGCAAATATCGCGCACCCGAAAATTGCCACAATAATGTCATTTGCTGGTTCCTGCCACTGATGATGATAGTGTGCACCATCTGGCGCCATCTCTTAAGCATAGAGAGCATTATTATTGCATCAAGATTCAATACAATCTAATCCAAGCGAAGGTGGCACGTGCACGTTGCGGCACGATTTGTATGTTGTGTCTGTAACCTGTTACATTATGGGGCGATATGGAAGCTACACGGTTGCTTTCAAGTTGAAAGCGATTGATCATGCACTCAACAACGGCAACAGGGCCGCCAATAGGCCCTCCTTCGGAATAGACAATTTTGTGTTTGCTACTGGTGACAACAGCTGAAAGCCAGCAAGACGTGTCGGGCCTTCCGCATGCCTAAGACTGGGTTTGATGGTAAACTTTATTTCTTCAGAAGGGACCTCCAGATTTTGTTAAATGGCCATCAGCTCAATACTGACGTTCTTCGCTTTCCTTTCGTGGACTCCTGTTCAGCGACGAACGCTACCGCTACGTTTGCAACGGCCACAAGCTTTGTGTACAGTATTCTTGTAAGTATTCTGATTCTCGACTGTTTGCTTGCGCTTTTTGTGTCTCAAATAAATCTTGCCTTGTGTTGAACCTGTGCTTTTGTTGTTGAGGTACATTACTTACTACATTACTACTTCTCAAAGCTTACTGTTAGTTGCTGGCGTGAGAATCCCGACTTGCGGCCACTTCGTTTTCTTTTTCACTCTGTACATTTTCGTGGAAAGTTTTTCCCGCGTAATTCTCGCACCCCTCAACTTTGCATCGGTTTTCCGCCGAAAAAAGTGCGAGGACTATACGAGTAAATATGGTAGACTATGTGCACTATCACGAATGAAATTTTGTGCGCTGAACAGTGGCGAATATTGATTTGACAATCTCGCACCCCATATCCGAAGACATTGCAATCAAACCTTGAGCCACTATTCAAGTGTTACAAGCAACACACATGCCCCCATTCCTTCATGTAGACCCACCGCAAAGAGTTACAATGATTCCATACAAAACCGCAACTTACATTGTCTGCAACCACTACCGGAAACTGACAAAATGGCCACAAATAGTGATTAGGCTACATCTGCTGTTTGGAATGTTGTCGCAGGAAGTTTGTATGAGACAACATGAAGATTGGTCGTCGAAAAGGTTGTACTCAAGCACTGATCCACGAGTGTGCATTATGCGAAGTCTAGGTTCGCGGCCACGAAATCAATGGCGAACAAAAGTTCGCTGAGCTTGTGCAAGCCTGCATAGTGGTAGCAAAGGCGAAAGCTCGCGTCGGAAAACCGAAAAGCTTTTAAACTTGAGGACAAGATAGCAAACCCGAAAACGATGCCACTTTTACTGACAGGAAACTTAAAGTGCTCTTCATGAGGATGTGATCGCACGTTCCAAGTGAAGCGTGTACGGCCTGAGCCATGTCGGCACTGGTGCAAAGGTTACTCAGACGCCCAGGCAACCGCCTTTCTTCCTCACTAAACGAGCTTGTGCAGAGCTATCGTGTTTTTTTTTCTTGCTTCAGTTAAGTAAGAGGGCATTGAATTGCAACTGTGTAAATGCGGTACAGAACTACTGATCATGGCAAAGTTCCGGGTGTGCCTATCATGCGCAGAAATAAAAGTTAGAATGATTTCTCGCGATCATACTGGCGGCGCACCAATTATGCGAGATAAAGTATGCTAGAAACCAACCAGCACAATTACATTGTAGAAAAATCTTATGCAAATTAGGCTCAAAGCTTCTCAAGCATCTTTCGCATCGGCAGTCGTGTACAGAACCATAATGTTCCCTTTGTCACGAAGGTGGGGAGTGTAGCTAAAAGAAAGCTTTTACTTCCATTTGGTTAGCACATTTTACAAGTGCGCGTTATCATGACTACTGTCTGGTGTTATCAGGCGAACCAAGCATGCTACAGATGTCAACTATATCTTTCAACAACTGTGGAGACTGTAGTGGAAAAAAGAAAGAAAAAAACATATAAAAGCGGTTAACACGTTGCAGCTCTGTGCTCACTGATGTAACCCCAAAGACGTATTGCAACATTACAAGGCTTCCAACTGGAGGTGGCCTACAGTTGTATCATCAATAAAGCAATGTGACTTACAAAGTTCACTACACATAATGAAGCAGTGTTTGCTTCTCGTCCTGATCTTCATTAGCATGGTAGACGTGCCTCCAATCACGAGGGTTTGCTCCCAGGCAGCGCCATTCACAGAAGTCAGCCAAGTTCTTCACTGGCCCCATGCTGCAATGTGAGAGACGACATTCACCTGAACAAGTTTATGCAAGTACTCACCATAACCTCCTTATGTATAGTAAACACATGCAACACATCAATAAAACAATTCTGATCGATTGATAAGCGGGCTTCAACATGCGGTGCACTCATGGACACTTTCACTTTTTACGTACAAGTGAAGCTCACAAGTAGAAATCACATGCGTACAAAATTAATTATCATGGGTATGCCTCTCATTTTGGTAATAAAAAAATTTACCTTATCTTTGTCATCACCATAACATTTGATCGTAATCTCTGAAGAACCGATACAACACTTGATATTCTGCCTTGTTAAAAAAATTAAGAACCCTAAAGCTTCACCTTTAGGAGTTGAATGTGACATCCTGTTCCTAGTGCGCACTTCAAACACTTAGTGCATGAAACCTTTTCGAATTTGCTATGCACGTACTACGTGGCCTTAAAAGAATAGGCGTGTGTGCCTTTTGTAGTGGAGCACCGGCTTTCAACCACGGAGCCATTATGATAATCACATATTCTGATGCTTGTTGGCAATGGACGCTTCTACCACGCATTATTACTGCAATATTTCATGTTGCATTGTGAAGCATGTACGTATACAGGATGCGTGTGTTTGTGAAGCATGAATCTTCTTTCACTGCATTTCCAAGCAGAGCAAGTTCTTTTCACTGTTTTCATATTCACTTGCCACGCAAATTACCCTGGTGCGATCCTCACTCTGCTCCAAGATTTTTATCATTTATTTATTTTAGTTGTATCATTCTCGATTTTTCTATCACGCAAAAATAATTTTTTGCACCCAACCAACGATGCCGACACACATGTTTGAATTTCTGCGAAATGAGCTCTTTTACGCTATCACGTTAATAATTTTATAACAGTCTTCATTTTCAAAAGTGTGCTTTGTAAACACGAAGACGGGATGAAAAAAAAAAAATGCAGCACAGAATGCAACAAATTGCATCCTGTACTGTGTTTGTTGTACCAAGTCTGTGTTTACAAAGGGCACTTCTGAAGATGAATCAGCGCCAATAAGCCCACCTTACAGCTCTTCTAAATCATAAATATTATCAATGGGCTATCTCAAGTTCAAGAATGCATTTTTATGTGCTTTACAAATGAAACAGTCACATATTGTTGTTACTATCGTTCAAATGATTTTACACTAAAGAGTCAGACAAAGTTTGTGTGATAATTAAAATAAACTAACTGCTGCAACAATTCATGTTGAGACAAAGGTACAGAGACGCATTCTGTGTGTCCTCCCAAGATGAATTCATAATGGATCGAGAGAACTACTGCAGGCCAACAAGAACTACTAAAGATAACAGAAAATAACAAAAAGAGGATTTTTTAGCAGTTACTATTCATGGTCAGAACAGTTTTACGGTGCCAGCTAAGCAGGTTGCTGGCAGCAATCTCTTCTGAGAAATTATTTCATTAAAGGGCAGGCCCTGAATTGAATCTCACACTTAGGTGTCAGCCAGAACACCTTGGACCCTGGCAGTTTCCTCGATCTATTGGATTGCCCAGGGCTGTTCCTCTAGAACTGTGCTGAGCAGCACGGTCTCTCACTGCTCATTAATTGTGTGACCCTGTTGGACCACCTTTGGACAAGCCCACAGCATTTGAGGTAGGTCCATTTTTTCTTTACATATATTGCACCTGTCGGTGTAATGAGCTGGATAATAGTGGCTATAGGCCACCGGGTTCGGGTACTTGTTGGTTTGAAGGAGGTGCCAGGCTACCGCTTGCTGCTTACTAAGCGTGTGGTGCGCAGGAGGATGCCGGGTCCTTTCAAATCAATAATGGTTTGTTATTTCCTTTTATGCAACCATGTGATCTCCTTTCCATCCTAGTGAGGGTGTCTCAGTGGCCCTGCATATAAGGGACGGTTGGTAAAGATCGCGTCGTACTTATACAACAGCGACAACAGCTGCGCTCGTTCCCCTTCTGGCAGGCTTTGTGCCTCTACCAAAAGCGGGTGCACTGCCCTTCCTTGCAGCGTTGCACATTGTTCCGGCAGGGTGGTTACTCGCTTTCTTGGCGTGCTCTCCTCCTCCCGTACTCGCCCCTCTCCCTGCGATTGGCATGCTTTTGTCAATGCGGGGGCCTTCGAGAAAAGCTTTAGTGCGTCTCCGTCGCGCTCTCAGTAACCGCCGTTTGCAATGTCAATGACAATACTCGACTTGGCGAGAAAGTCTCCACCCAGTATTAGAGACATTGATAGCCCAGGAAGATGCACGAAATGTCGCCTCATGTGTCTATCCCAGCGGATCACTAGCCTAGCCGCACCACTCGATAGTGCTGTGCCTGTAGCCAGGCGGAAGATGGTGTTGCTTTGTCTCAAGCAGATATTGTTATCGCGGAGATGGTGTAACACATCATCGCCAAACCGAGAAGCGCTTGTCCCAGTATCCAAAAGTGCTACAAACTTTTTTTGAGCTATCGTAAACTCCAATAGGGGTGCGGGCAAGTCTACGGCCTCACCAGTGCGACAGACTTAGGTGCAAGTGATCCGAATGCACCGGTGGAATTACTGATCACTGCTCAGTGCCCGATGTGGATCACCGGCGGCGCCGTCCGTGTCCCATACCGCGCATTTGTTCCTGACCCCTTGTGCGATGTGCCCAGGCGCGTCGCACGGATAGCAAAGATCGCGGACATTACGCCAGCTCGATCGTAAGTTGCTTGGATCAGCTGGTCCTTGTTCTGGGTTGCGCTGCTCGTTAGGCCTTGTGCTGACCGCATGCTCTTGCCTTGGAATGCTGCGCGTAGGGGCGGCGTGGGCCGTACGGTGCGCGTGAGCAAAGGAGTCCAAAGCGCGGTCTGCCAGCTCCCAACTGCATGTACCTGCTCATCAGCGAATGCTGCTGCCGTGTTACCCCTAAGTGCCTCTGAAACTACTGCGCCGCTATTCCACGCACCGCGAGGCTTGATTGACTGCGCTGCGGGCGGAGATGGGCGATACGATTGCGCAGAAAGGATTCCCCCTTGTATGCGCTTTGCCTCGGTGGCAAGCTCTTCTAGGTCTGCGAACGTACATTCTCTGAAGTGCGCTGCAAAAGTTGGGTGCGCTTGTCGCGTAACGCACTCGACTTCTCCTGCGTTGGTGGCATAAGGGTTAGCGAGACGATACAGTTTGTCCATCGCCCGTACATACTCCAGCAAGGATTCGTCCGGTTGATGGGTGATACAGTTCGTCCATCGCCCGAACCTACTCCAGCAAGGATTCGTCCGAATGCTGGGTGACACAGTTCGTCCATCGGCCATACATACTCTAGCAAGGATTCGTCCGGATGCTGGGTGCGTAGCTCTAATTCTCTCTGCAAACACCACTCATAATTAGCTGGTAGGAATTCGCGGTGGAACTCTTCTATTGTGCGGGCGCGATTTCCGATTAGTCGGAACTATCGGGCCGCTTGCCTCCGTGAGCGACACCGAAACCACACGCTCGAGAAGTTCGGCAACAGAAAGCCCTGTTTGTCGCCTGCTGATAATGGAGCGAACGGTCAAGATACTCGTTGATGCTCTTGCAGTCCTGGTAAACCGTGTAGGTAGGTATGTCTACCTTAACACGTGGTCGCACAGTATGCACAGAGGCCTGCACTGTGTTCTGCAGGGCACTCGCGAGGCTTTGCATAACTGACAGCACACTTTGTAAGAGTACCTTGCTGCCCGCAGACTCGCCTACAGTTGCGGCACGTGTCGGAGCAAGTTGTAGCGGCGCCTCCCCGTTCGCGTCACAAGATTCCAGAGCGCCATGCGTGATGCTTTTCGTCGTAGGCCTAATCTCTGCTAATGCAGACTCTGCACCTTCTTGATCATCCCGAGTGAAACGACCAAAATCTACGCTGTCGGAAAGCACTAAAGGCGCCCCCGCGTTAGCCAGAGAATCTTGCACTCTGCAATGCAACATCAGACAACATTGACAAATCTTGGAATTCTGACATGCCTGTTATCCTACGTGTGGGGAGTGTCTGCAGTTTGTCGCGTCCACAAAGCTAGCCGCGTTGCCAAATTCGTTACGTTGGGCACCAGATGTATGGGCTCCGTCCTATGTACGGCTGACGCAGAAGCCTAGCTAATGTTTCAGCTGCGCACAGTCGTACCGTGCACGATTAACGTCCCCTATCCGTAGCTAGTCTCGGGTAGGTCACAGCGTACTACGGGTTTGGGGTGAATAAGGCAACAGGCTAGGTCAACACAACCTTTTACCAATATGCGCGCAATGTCCGCCAGGAACAGCTAGGCGTTACCAATAGCGCGCAATGTCGCGAGGAGACAGTACAAAAAACAAGGCTAGACGCTTACTCCTTGGTCGTTGTCATCCTCGGCTCGCAGGGGGGGGGGGGGGGGGGGGTGGGTGGGGGGCTGCGAGTTCGTCCTTTTTCTTTCCTAGACGGTATCAGAGTGTGCGGCTGTCTGCACGCTAGTTTTGTTCACTCACCCGGTTTCCCTCTCCCTGATGAGAATAATACCTTTTCTCGCTGAGAGAGGGCAGACCTGTTCCGCACACCAGTAAAGGGAATCGCGAGCGTTGGCCGTGGAGGTGTTCCCGCAACTAGGCTTTCGGGCTGCCGTAAAAAAGAGAGGGTGGCTGGGCACACGTGCTCCCCCACACACTGTGGATAACATGGTAGTGTGGAAAGTTGTTTTTGTTTAGTTGGAATAGTTGAAAGCTTGCTTCGGTGTGCGCCCTCTTCAGGGGGTGATGAATAGAGGGTCGGAAGTTTTTGGCCATAAAATATAAAGTGTGTTCAGTGGTGGTGGCAGCCACCCACCACCGAGCCCAACGATGGGACGCTGCAAGAGATGAAAAAATATCTTGCATACCCCAGCTGTAAACCGCCACTACAACCTGATGTGAGGCATCCCGAGGTGGGGTGAACACACAAGGTTAACCCTCGGCGCCAGGAAGAACGGGAAGTAAACAAAAGAGAGAAGTAGACAGGACAAACAAAAAGTGAAAGACAAAGATGTAGG